CTGAACAAAAAATTAAATTACTGAAGAAATATTAATCTTTTAATTTAATAAATAGCTACTTCTAAAATTTTTTCAAATTAAGATTTTTATAGCATATATTTACTTATTAGCAGATTAATATTTATAGCAACATATCTCAATATATCACTATTGTTGTAGATTTTATACTAAGTTATCTTTATAAAAATTGAATTAATAATTAATAAAAAACCACAATTTGAAAAGTATCTTGAAAAAAATTTTTTTTTCTATTATTAAATTTTATTATAATTATATCTGTAATAAAATAAGCAATATAAAATATTATAAAGATTAATTTAGTTATTTTAATTATTTGTTATTATTAATTCTTGGAATATATCATTAGTATAATAATATTTTAATATAATAATATTTTATTATTTTATTATTTGTAATACTAATATTCTTATTTGAATTTCAATTTAATTTTGTGTTAGCTTTTACTAGACTTAATAATTTTTATTTAATTTCTTATTATTTATAACAGATGATTTTATCTTTTAATTCATATATTTAAACTTTATAAAATATTAATATAAAGATAAAGTTCAAAGTATCAAATTGAAATAGATTAATTTGAGATTATTGTGTATAGAGCCTATTGTGTCAATTGGGATTATAAATTTTATCAAAGTTAGATTAGAAAAAAAATCAAAAATCTTATTTTCATGCAATATAATAAAATTTGATCAAGATTCAGATGTTTAAGTATAAAATATATAAGAAAACCAATAAACTTATATATAAAGAATAAATTTTACATTTGTTTTCTATAGATATTGAACTAGGGGTATGCATTTGATAACTTGGGAGCACTATTTACTATGCTATTAATCTATAAAGTTATAAATGATTATATTATGAAATTTATAAAAATTTTATGCATCTATATCGTATATTGCAAATATTGTCTTTAAAAAATGCAAATAGTACATCAAAATGATAATATAAATATAAAATATAAACGATTAAGAAATTAAAATTTCCGTTAATAACAAAATGTTCCATCACTTATTTTTATTCTTAATCATAAACAATGACGATGCAATTTTTTGTCAACATTAACTATAGACTTATCAAATCAATCAATCATTATTATTAATTGAAAAAATCATAAAACATTATATTATTTTTAAATAAAATCTTAAAAAAATTACAAATAATTTTGTCTAAAAATTTTTTTGCTTACTACTATATTTTATTAAAAGATATTTAATCGAATATCCAGTTATATATCTGGGTTTTAATACCACAAACCCAGATTAAAGAATGTCTATAGGAATATCCAATTTTATATCCGGATCCAAACCCTGATTAAAGGTAATAGGTTTATATGATTTTTATGATAAAATAGTTTCTAATATTTTATATATTTTAGGTTATTGCACTTAAAATCCATCACTTGGATAAGAATGCTAAGCAAGATATTGCAAATAATATAAGTGGGATTCGGACGATAATGTAAATGCTGCAGGTGAAATTTAGGTAAACCTACATCTGGTTAACAAATACAGTATGCTGATGTAGGAGGAAGCAGTAGTAGACAATCACTGGAACTTATAAATGAGGAGAGTTAAATTCATTTAGTTACTGTATAACCACAAATTTCGTGGTTTAAATTGCTTGTATTAAATGTTCACTTAACATGAAGCGTGACTGATGTCTAATTATAATTTCCTTGATCCCATGCCGGTTTACCTTTCAAATATCTTGTGACTTGTGATCGATAATTCGAATATCTTTATTTTCTACAAACCACATCGTATTTTTTACTTAAACTTTTTTCAAAATGTTTTGTGATTTAAATAAGAAGCTTCAAGAACAATTCCAACATCCAAAATTTCTAAAGGAATCTATAGAGGAGAATAGGTAACATATTATTTTATCATAGAATTACTTTAAGTTCCACTTAGTGTTAACTTAAATTAATTGTAGTTTACCTCTTAAGATTGGTTCCAATATATCGATAAAAAACCACAACAAATTTCTTGAAAACTGTAAATCATCTGGGTACAAGTTTGAGTATAATAACGGCAACGTTTTTATTGTTGAAATGTGCACAGATGTACATGATTCTGTTGTTGCGCTATTGATGGATTATTTCAAAATTCGAATGATGGCGTTATTATTAATCCACCAATAGTCGTTAGGGGTAAACTATGTAAGAGATTTGATCTTTGACTTTTTATGAATTTTCTAATATCCTACATCCTTTTTATAGTTCATCCTTCACCAAATGCAGATGGACTTAGGATTTCACCGGATGTTACAGTATGTCCAGATAAGGCATACGTTCCAAAACCTCACAATCCTGGGCCTCTCTATCTTGGACCTCCCCTAAGCACCACAATGGTAAATTAAATTTAGTGTATATTATCATTATCTGTTTTGTATACAATTTCTAATACTTATACTTTTGTAGGGGAACCCTCATGCCAGAATAGTTTGTGAGGTTGCAGTTAGTCAAAGTTATCATGAATTGAAAGATAAGTGTGAACTTTGGATGGGTCAGCAGTACGTGAGATGTGCATTAGGAATAAAGCTTTATGATTTGCGAACTACACAAAATACACGTGGATATTTTAATCGAGAAATGAAGGTATTTATCTATTGACCGTTTTATTATGGTTTCGTAGTTGATATTCTAAAAAACTTTTTAATTATTAGGCCAAATTATGGAGACAGGGATTGCCAACCAGAAAAGTAATGTTAAACTGTTTAGAGATTCTGTTTATTTTTCGATATTTACACGTATGTTTCTAAAAAAAATAGTGGCATTTCGGGACTGTGCAAAAAGGTAGTAATCAACCTACTGGGTGTAATGCTCTGGGTAACCCAGCATATCAGATCAACATTCCGATAAGTGATGTATTTTATGACCCACCTATTCAGGCTATTGGATATGTTTTACCGGTTTCTCGACCTGAAATTCCTGGTGGTAATTTCATCATTGGTCTTTACGAAATTCAGCAGATAGTTTTGAAAAATCAGCCAATATAATGAATATGTAATGTGTTTTAAATTTTTTATAACAATCCTTTTGTTGACATTGTACTGCAATCTATAATACTTTTATTTTTGTATTTGTCAATACCTACACCAGGCTTATCTTTAACTGTGCATATTCGTGTATATGGGTATATATCAGAAAAGTAAATAGAGAACAGATTTAACAATGTGTGCACATGAGATTTTATTGTTTGATCGTGGAACATTTACTCAATAAGATTCAATTATCGAAGGTGCTCTATAATAGCTATACTGTATATGGGTCTTCGTAATGTCATTCATACCTTCGCACAATTCTTTCTTAAGTTGATCCCATTACTGTATGAAAGAATTTGATAAATTTTTCATGTTGCACTCCTTGTACAAACCTGTGGAATATTCTGATATCTTTAACAAATTGGGACGATGTATCTTTGATGGCAGTTCATATAAATTTCTCGTTTATATTTACTGCTATATGGACACTACGTTTTTTTACAGTATTAATTCGCTATTAATAAATTTTATATTCTCCTCTTTTATCATGTGCAACATTTGTACCATCTTAAAGGCCTTCTATGCCAACATTTTATGCACTAATTTTACCAGCTGTAATGGATTGTAGATGCAAAATGCTATTTGAAGATTTAAACCGGTAAGAGAAATACCGAGAATTTTCTACAGATCTGACGGTATATGTTCTACACAGTCAATATTACAAACAATTAGGGAAGAAATGCACCAGATTAACAATGTATAGATATCCTTTATTCTGATATATTCGAAAAAATATTATACAAAATGTACCAATGCAAACGTGGAATACCGTAGTTCACAATTTCTGTATTCGCCAATTCTTATCGCACCAAACCAGACTGTTGATAATCTAAAAAAAACTCCCAATAAGCGACAGTATTATGAAACGTATCACTACCTTTATCACCAGGTTGACCAAATTACTCTCGGATTACGCGTTATTAATAATGCTCGCACAATTAGTCGCTTATTATGAAATTTTATAAACCTTATTTTTATAATACTCGACATTCGATCATGGAATTGCAATAATCATTCTTATGACTGACTTTCAAATTATATAAATAATCCTTTTCACATTATATTTTTCTATTAATTACCTATTCATTAAACGTTTATGATTTCTGAGCATGAAACTTGTAATCATTGTAATGTTGTGTATTGAAAAATCTATTCTTATGAACATTGATTTACTTAATAATGCTGTGAATGTATACAGACAGTATGGTATATAAGCCTTGTGTCTTAAAAATTATAATTTAGTTAAATTTATTATTAGTTTAAGTCGATATGTTTATGATATACAGTACTGCATATACTGTACATATTTATAAAAAAATTTTTTATCACAAACTCCTTAATGGCTTAATGCAATGATTAATACTGTAAAATTTTTTATAAATAATTATTATACTGTATACAGTATAGATAAATCAAAAAATATTTAAATATTTAAATAAATAAATATACATTTAATCTTGAAATGAAATTCTAAAGATACGAAACAATAAATTTTGATTTGAACAAATGATTTCGGATTTGCAAAACGGTTTGAACATTAAATTCTCTGTCAGCAACATTACACGTCCCGGTTCAACTTGACTCGATAACTTATAGATGTTGCTTATTTATCATGAGTTCCAATTCTTAGTTGGCAGTCGTCTTAGGATTTTGGTTAAAACAATAATGAAATGTCACATTCACTCAACGTTATTTCTTAATACAATATTAAAATTAAACCAAATTTGGGATTACAATATATGATAATTTCAGGTCATACGAGGATATTTAATACGAGCTGATTTGAAGATTTAATGATGCAAAATATAATATATATGATATATAATAATACAGAATAAAGATACAAACTATACATGACATGGTTCTACACATGTGAAAATAGCTAAATCGGGCTCATGCAAATAAATAATGTTCAAAGACTTAATTGACAATTTCTAAATGTGTCCGCTTCTAGAAATCCATCGTTCGGCCCTTCCTCCTTCCTCTCCGACCGACTCGATATCTTCTATTTTCTTCCATTTTCTCCTAAACCTTTTCTCTCTATCAAGCTCCTGATCATTCATTTTTTTAGCCAAATATTTCAGGACGCCTTTAAATTTCTTGTCATATCGATCCGGAAAATGATGAAACAACCAATTCCTTCTCAAGCTAACGTCTGTGAATAGATCTGGTCTTGATACTTCACACACAATGTCTTTAGTATAAAATCGATGGAATCCCTTGTAAAGGTAATATATATTTCCGGGTATGTAAAGTTTTTGTTCCGATGAATTAAGCTTTAATGAAGTACGGTAATCGTCAATAGCAGCAATTATCTTTGTAAGCTTATCCCTGGAATTAAGCTGTGAGAAAGTGAGTAATGGAAACGAATTTGGGTATTATTTTGAATACGCATACCTTTTTGTAAATCTCATTTTTCAATTCACTAGCTGCAAATTTCACCAATTCCTTAAAATCCATTAAATTCCCGTAACTCAATCGTGGAATTATATCGTTCTCGTTTATGAAATTATCAATGCATTTTACTGACTCCGGATCACATGATAAATCTAGTGAGCAACAAGGAGCTGTTGCAAAGTTCCATGCGTGAATATCAACTCCACGTGCAAGCAAATCTTTACATTGTTCGCGTAAAAGTATGGTTACTATCGATGAAATGGATGCTCCCAATGAATGACCCACTACTTGTATAGCATTGGATTTGAACTTCGCCACTGCAGATCGAATATCCGCCAGCGAATGATTCACCAAATATTGAGCGCTGCGTAATATTCCACGATGAACAACCCCTCCATTCCACGGTTCGTAGTGAGTCAAAACATCGGTTATAGCGTCAGTGATATTCTGTTTTGACAGTGAGGATTAATCATCGAGTTTCTATGTGTAGATCATTAAACTTATAAAATATGGAATAATGAATAATCTTATTAATACCATGGTTCCCCTAATTGATATAACAATCGAATTGGTCTCCGGATCACGAACAATCATATAATTCGGTACGGACACAGTCCTCTGACCATATTCCCAACAAATAATGTCTCCCTTGTCAAGACCGAAGAAATCCTGAACTGCTTTACGGTCAGAATTCATCCTAAATGCATCTTTAAATAAAGTTCAAGTATAGGTCAGAACTATAGAAGATAGGGACTTTTAATAAAAAATAAAGAATACGCATACTCAGTGGTGCCATATTATGCCCGTATCCAAAGAAATTGAACAGAAAGGAACCCTGTTAAAACAAAAAGTATAATTATATTTCATTGGTTGAGGATAATAATAATAAACAGCCACGTAATTTATTGGCATAAAAAATACGCACATACGATGCCATCGAATACTTTAAATAGTATTGAGCCACCTTTATTTTTTCCGAATTGTGAAATAGGTTTCCTGTCACCGGACTACCATTAAGGCAGAGATTAGTAAAATAAATTAAAAGTATCGCGAATTTCTTTAATTTACCACATCTTACTTTGGCTTTTGAGTGTAATATTTCTCGAGTAACATATATGCTTTTAAAAATTCCAATTTTGTCAGTCTCCAACCGTGGTCAAAGAATGCGTGATAAAGAACGGTAATTTCTTTGATTGCATCCCTGGTTTCTTGGCTTAGAACCATGTCAAGTATGCCAAGTGGTTTGTTTTCGGGGAGTATGATATTATCGAGTTCTGATTCATCGGCATCACTAATTTTAATCGAAACATCACTGATAGATCTTTGTTTGGTAACGACGGAATCGGATTTCGAACGTACAATTGATGGTTGAGACGGTGTGGGCGGCGTTAAGGGAGGATCGTCAGGATAATGGAATTTGATGTTTAACAAAATGGTGCCAACTTCGTGGGAATTCGGAAACTCCACGGTTTCCAGGGGAAATGTTCTATCCATCAGTTTCACATTAATGAGATTTTTTTCGGTAGTAGATACAAAAAATTGTTGAAAAACCTACCCCTCAAACTCCTTCTTGTTTAAAATAGCCTCCTTTAAATTTCTCAAACGAACAATTGATCGACCAAGTCTTTTCTTGGTATTAAGAAAAGATCCGTGATCATAAACGTCAAACTTCAGTGCATCAAATACATATGAATGATAATCGAACGGGAAAAGAAACATCTTTCTTAGTTTTTCTTCAATCGATATACTCGGCTTCGTATGGTGTGTCACCGAATGAATTACAAGACGAAACGATGTTTTGGCTTTGGGATTTATCTTCTGAGATGAATTAAATTCCACTGATTTAATTCGAACTAGCATCATATCTATTCAATGTACAGATAATTAGTTCAACTGGGAATGAATTATCAATAGGTAATAGGTCATAAAAAATTCATGTTTACCTGGAAGAATGTCACTAGATACTGCCCGCAACAAGTATAGAGTAAGTTCACGGAGTCTTGAAAATTAATTTAACTAAGTTTGATCAGATAAACATACGTAATGAGTCGGAACTGCCTTCAGACCTCCTCTCGACAGAAATTTGTCCTTTGTATTCTGATGAAGGAAGCGAATGTTAACTCACTTTTTTTGTTCATCACAAATTCCTTGAATTTTAGAAAGTTACCTTGGACAGTTTGTTCGTTAGTGCTTAGTGTGGTGGTGACAACGTTTAATGTCGTGATTTCTTTTACTATATATTGTCATATTCACACATTTAAAACGTACGAACGTTAATAATAATCGCTAAGGCATGGTGAAACCTACGTTGATTTGATTTCTCTGCTGCAACAAATTTGCTTTGTTTCTGGATTTGTTCTTCAACATTTTCCGATTTAATCTTTGAATCCTTATTAGAAATTACGCTATCTTGGAGATTGAAAGTTCTTCTAGAATTATAACTCAGAATTTTCCTAGGGCTAAAACTTTTAAAGTGACTTAGATTGTTAATCGTACAGCTATTTGAGTATACTCGATTCGAATCCGTTCGTTTGGGCGAAAGTTGCGCACAAGACCAATCAAAATCACGCCACGCCTTTTCAAAATCATCAATGCTTTCTCGTTTCTCGTGCGACTTCACATTTTCAATTGTGGGTATCGATTCGGGCTCCTCTGTCAGCACATTTTCATCGCCCGAAGTATAATCTGACGTAGCATCCGAGAGATAATTAGCTTCGTTCTGTTCCCCTTCAGAAACTGGTGTGTCCAACTTAATTAACACTTCGTGAGGAAAATCAAGTTTGTTGATTTGATCGAGTTCATCAACATGCTTTTCCAATTCATCTATCATTGATTGAGTTTCCGGCTCAAAATTCGATTCAATCATCAAATCTTTATGTTTTCCCTTAGCGCCAACAGAGTTTGAAATGTCTGGTATTTCTGGATTAGTACATTTGCTTATTTGAGAAGTATCCTGGATGTTAGACTCTTCTTGTTTTACTGGTCCCTCAAATTCCTGCGACATTTTATCGAATAAAGTTCTTTACAACTCGAGTGATTTATATAAAAATAATTTGATCAACAACTCCAAGAACAGCCAGCGTACATATTTCTCGGTAGAAGAATCCGCCATTTTTTGCGTTTATGTTCAATTCGGAAACGATTTATGTGTCAGCGGTGGGACAATATGTGCTGTAAATCTATCCATTCTGTATCGGGTTTCGTACAACAATAATTGAGGACAGATGCATGATACTTTTGATAAATAGATGTGCAAAGATTGATTTATACGAATCATATAAAATTTTCCAAATGATCTTTGTACAAAATTAGTTTGGCATTCACATCCATATACAGTATTTGAATTTATTTTTATAATACACCGTATACGGTAATTAAATTTTATCAATATAATAAATATACTAGTACTCTTTGATATTTCTTATAATTTAAGAACAAATTTATTTAAAAAAATCCAAGTTACTTTTAATAAAAATTTATAGCTAGATAAAATTGTCTGCTTGTATATATTATATCCAATGGATTTTTAACAATAATTAAAATAACTCTTTACAATAATTTTTTTTAATGACACTTTCAAAGTAATATTCAATAATTACTTTTTTGTTTTCAGTTAATATAATTTAAATAAATATATATTTTTAATTAAAATGATATTTATTTTTTAAAAGTTTAAAATTTTTATAATTTTATAATAAAATATAATGTTTTAAAACAAACAAATCGAAAAAAAAATTTGTTAAAAATATAATCTATTATATTTTTTACAATATTAAATTTCAAATTTTCTTTTATTATATATAATATATTATATATGAATGTAAAAGTCTTAATAAAATTGTTAGTGATTTCAAAAGACAGTGAACTTGAGCGATTATTATTTTAACGCCAACAG